CACAGAATCCAAAGCAGGCTCCAGGCTCTGAGCTGTCAGCACAGAGCCTGATGCGGGGCTCAAGCCCACAAACTGTGAGATCATGACCTGAGCTGATGTCAGAAGCTTAACCAAATGAGCGCCACCCAGGTGCCCCCAAACAGTTTTTTAAAGATGGAAAGTCATTGCACTATCCCAGAGGTTACAAACTCATGGCTTATAGAATGAAAGTGCCCTGACAACATGTTTTATTTGGTCCAAAAAGTGTTTGTTTTTTATTTTTATTTTTACAAGTTCATTTATCTTTGAGAGAGAGCACGAGCTGGGGAGGGGCAGGGAGAGAAAGGGAGACACAGAATCCAAAGCAGGCTCCAGGCTCCAAGCTGTCAGCACAGAGCCCGACGCGGGGCTCGAACTCACAAACTATGAAATCATGACCTGAGCCAAAGTTGGACACTCAACCAATGGAGCTACCCAGGCACTGTCAGTGCAGGGCCTGCCTACTTGGGATATTCCCTCCCTCCCTCCCTCCCTCTCTCTCTCTCTCTCTCTCTAAAAACAAAACAAAACAATCCAGAGAGTTCACATAAAAACGTGTACCTCTGGCTTCTCTTTAGGAAAACCAGACATGTGGCAACACAGATGTCATAAACCAAGCACAGTGGTGTAGCCAGCCCCAGATCCAGAAACCAGGCACCAGGATTCTAGAGGCCCCTCATGTCCCCTTTTATTTATTTATTTATTTATTTATCTATCTATCTATCTATCTATCTATTTATTTATTTATTTATTTTTTAACGTGTATTTATTTTTCAGACAGAGAGAGACAGAGCACGAACAGGGGAGGAGCAGAGAGAGAGGGAGACACAGAATCGGAAGCAGGCTCCAGGCTCTGAACTGTCAGCACAGAGCCCGACGGGGGGCTCGAACTCACCGACCGTGAGATCGTGATTTGAGCCGAAGTCGGACGCTTAACCGACCGAGCCACCCAGGTGCCCCCCTCATGTCCCCTTTTAATGATGTCCCTCCTCAAGGCAAGGTTAACCACATTCCGGGGTTCTACTAGCATAGAGAAGTTTTGCTGGTTTCTGTACTTTACATAAATGAAAT